CAGAAGCAAGTTTATACTGGAGTTATTCCTCTTCCTATGAGTGTTACTTCTGTTAAAATACAATTATCTTTGGGGTTTATGTTTTGTTTTGTTTTTAAACTTTTGAAGTTAAAAATAAATGTACTTTCAATCTTTAACCAAGTTAACTTTTATTCTCAGAATTTAGACTATTACTGGCTAGTTTAAATACATGTCGCTAAAGCTACTTAAACAGAAGCTGGTTTAATATACTTTTATATGATGGTGTTTTTCTTTTAATCACATTTTATTGTCTTACCTGTCAAAATTACTCAGAAAATTGCTATTTTCCTTTCAGTTATTGGAAGAGAAGATGATAGCTGCCACAACATAAGAAACTATTCTTGAATCTATCTAGAGACTCTGGCCCTTTTTCTGTTGAAGTTGAACCATAACACCTAAATATTTAGGATTTATGGGGCTAGGAATACAGTATCAGAGAGACCTTTAGCAGTAATTCCATTAGGATATATTTTTAAGAGAGATGTGCAATGGGCAGGTTGTGTTCCCAGCCACATTCTTTGTGTTTTGCCTAGCAGCTGTTCAATATGAACACAGTCTTTGTGGTAAAGGTCAGAGGAAAGGGCTTTCCCATATCTGGTCTTTCCCATGTCTTCCAATGCCTACAGGTTAGCTACAGGTGGGCTTCTACCAGTAGCTGCTTGTCATGACTTTCCTCCACTGAATCTGGTTATACAATGTGATAATTTGGAAAAGTGCTTCATCCCAGTCTAGTCTCTAGCTCAGGGCTAAGAATCTTTTCTTGAAAGGTGGGAGGTAAGGGTTTGAATGCTTTTTAGACTCAGAAGTATGACTACAGCACCAAATACAGACTCGCCAGATTGCAATGAAGCTGCACGACTGCTTCACAGTATTTTTTGAAATAAAGGTATGAGCCAATTGGTTGATTTAGAAACTGTGTGGAAGAGCATAAATTACCAGAATACCTGGGTTTAACAAACTTTGAAGTTTTGTTCAAAAAATTGAAATATTATAACATCTCTTTTACAGAGTGGAACAGGGACATAAAGATTAAGCCAAAAATTAACATGGTCCTTCCCAAATTAAACTGAGGACCTGAAATGGAAAATTAATTTTTATTAGATAATTCTGGCAAAGTTCTGTATACCACTAGATTATGATGGAAAAATTTCAACTTCACTAACCATGCCTCTCTGTGATATGTTCTCTTGGTTAAAAGATGGAGCATGTTTCTTTGTGAATCAGAGCATTTCGTGCTCTTGATTCTTTCTCTTCTTTATTCCTCCTTCCATTAAAGGGAAGGAGAATAGGCTTGAAGAGAAGTAATGCAACCTAATGTCATGGTGAGGGTGGCTGCGACAATCCTTAGAACTTCAGGGTCCTCTGACACCAGGGCAACTAAGGCTCATATAAAAGTAGCAGGTTCGATGGAGTGCCTGAAAACAAAAGAATTTTCATAGGGAAAATAAATTAGGGACAAGGCCCATAAGCTGCAAGCATATAGGGACAAACTCCGAAAGACCAGAAATCAAGGGGAAGTAATAATACATACACTTGGGGGAAGAATGTTCTAGAATCATAACCATATAGGGAAAACAAGTAACCAGTAGGGGAGCAGAACTTGGACTAATCAGCATAACTTAATAACACTAGGGGATGATGGGTAGGTCTCTCAAGCTTGCCCTGACCTAACATGTTTCCCAGGGCTTGAAATTAACCCCTGGCGCTTCAGGGGTGAAGTCTTTCTGGCCCTGTGTCCTGGCACGGCCGATTCCCACAACCTGCTTTGCTAGAACCATGTGTAAGATGTGCAGAGTTCAGGTGACTTACTGCATGCATCAAACACATGAATTTTGATTTTATTATCTACAGTGCAGTTCTATTCTGTTTAAGATCTTGTTTCTAAAAAAAAAGTTATGTAGTGTGTTAAAAAAAAACATTACATATTTGTCCTGTTTTGGTCAGTTCCAAAGGGGATAGATATTTTCAATAGCTATGAAGAATAGGATTTAATTTTATGATGCAGACACTTCAAACTGTCTTGACATTACTGAATATTTTGATATTGTTGAACCATTTTGACAAGAGATCCTTGGGATTTCAGAGGGCTGTTTGATAAGAATGACTTCTCCCTGTTTTCACAAATACCCTTCTATTAGTGAGATGTTTCAGAGTATCCTGTTCTGGAAAGTGCAGTGCATCTCGTAATGTTTTGTGCTTACTTCTCACTTAGTGTACTCCTTTCCTTTCTGGAGTTTCCCTGAAATGTGGACTTCTACAGCATCTTAGCTCTCACTTTCTTGAGACTTCCATGTTCCAATTAATATGTGAGCATGACCTCTGCAGTTTGTTCTGGAACTGTGGTGGTGGAGTACAGCCTGACTGCAGTCTCTACACCTGATCCTTGCTGAAATATAAAGGTCATTTCTAGCACTCTGTTCATGGAAGGAAGACCTGTTGAAAGTCTGGACAACAGGGTTGTACGATATGGAGTATGACAAAGCTCGGTATGAAGAGAGCACAATACTACAGGTACTGAGATATTACATAAGTGTCAGCATCTGATAATTTTGGTACTAGTTGAGTCATGGTGTAGTATCATCAGAATGAAGAATGGAAAGCCTCTGTGGAGGGAGGAGATGAATGGATGTGGTGTTACACCCTGTAAAATAAGGGAAGAGTACTATTATATTTGAACTCTGAACTTTCTCTGTTTAAACCAAATAGCCTCACAATATTGTAACCTGTTTATGTTGTGAATAACCCATAATGCCTCTTAATACTCTTATGCCAATAAAACAACTAGAGGTATTTACAAGGAGCTTTTCTTCGGGTGTTTTTTTATGGTAACTGCAAAACACTTGAGCTGTCCTGTGTGCAGACTGATTATACTAATTCATGATCTTGTACTTTCATTTAGAGGAAAGAATTTCTTGTCCACATAGGCACCAGAATGCTTTCCTTTGTGTCATTACTGTTCTTGTCTCTTGTGAGCTGATCATGTTGCAAATGGTAGAAATCACAGTAGCTATGTTATGGCCATATATTTTAAAACAAACAAAAATTGCTACTTTTATACCACTACCAATGACTATTCATTATTATAACAGATTTCTTCATATATTTTAGACTAGGGAGAAAAGTCTTACTTTTTAAAGAAGGACTTGTGACTTAAAAGTATTTGCTGTATCCTTTTAGGGGGGAGACAATGATTTTAGCACATTGCTGGAGACTCAGCTTCTTTCTCAGTATGGCAATATCTGTGTGTAATGCTACAAAAGATCCAGGGTTTAAAAATGACTACCTACATTTCTGTCTGTTTTCAGGTACTCCATTTATACCAGTAGATGGTTTTAATTCCATATCAGGGTCTGTGTCCAGGATATGTGAGATTTATAACATGGGTCCAAATAAGTAGATTTACATTTAGCTTCTTTTTTTTTGCCTCGCAGTGAATATGGCTATGAATAGAATATTTGACATTGACAACAGTCCAATGTTTCTTCAGTGCTGGTTAGGACTAGACAGTCTTTGGTGTTGAATGATAGGATTTGTTTTCAGAGTAGTACATTGAAGGTTTTTCAGAGCAGGCATTGATCCATGAATCTTTTCATAAATTGGGAAGGAAGACTGTTGGGTCCACAAGTTTTTGGGATGTGTACCTTGTAGGTATTTGCTGTCTTCTAGGAGAGATTCAGCTGCCTTGAGTCTGAATGATTAAGCTTATTTTAGGTTAAAAACTAAATGAATAAAAACTTAAGTCACAGAGTAATACAGCGCTGTGATAGAGTCTATGCACACTTTGGTTTATTTTGTGTTCTAAATTCCATGTTCATTAATGGCAGAGATGAGGATCTTTAGTTTTTTTATTGAAACGATAGAGTTTGGATTGTCATCTTTGACTATTTTTTGCATGCTTTATAATTAATTCTATCTTTTGAGATACAAATTTTATTTATAATGTACCAAATAAGATAACATGTCATGTGTCTGTTTTAGTATGCCTTATATATTCATAGTCTATCCTATGAATAACTGTTTTACTAGATAAGGAATAGTCTAAAACAATCCCATGTGTCTGCATGTGACTCTCACAAGTGTTTCATGTGTGGAAAATATATCCTACAGGATTTATTTAAAAACTTTAATTTTTTTTTTTTTCTGGTAAAATAATGCTGATTTAATATCACCATTACCATTTTCATAGTATCAGTATGCCCATGACTTTCAGTGAATTTTGTGATGGTTTCCTGATGCAATATTGCATTGGCACTTTTTCATTACTTGAGCCTGCACCAGTAAAAAAATTAATTTTCTCCTTGGAAAGCACTTTTCCCTTTTTCTTTTGAGAAACAAAGTCAGGCAGTGTACCTTTTCTCATTGATGATACCTGCAGCAGTTGTATTATGATTGAATTGGTATTGAATTCTATACTGTTCAATTAAACACAGAGATTACCTGTATAGAAACTGAAACATTTTTAGTTAACATTAGAATTATCTAATTTAGAAAGAAATTAGATTACATTTAAAAGAAAATATTTAAATTCCAAAGAACATAACTTAAAATAGATTTTAAATATATTAAATATATTTAAAATATATCTTAATTTTTTTATCTGCTTCTTAAGGTACACCTAATGTTATTTATTGGGGAAAGAGTGTGTTATTATTTCTATATACTTTATTATTATTATTATTATTATTATTATTACTATTATTATTACTATTATTATTATATTTATTATAATTATTATAATTATTATAATTATTATAATTATTATAATTATTATTATAATTATTATTATTTTGAGTTACTGTAAGTATTTGCAGTTATATTAATTATAAATATCAATTCTAAGATAGTGATGACTTTCATATCCACTTAGCTACGATTAAAATAGTCTAACTTCTCTTTAGGCTGCATATTTAGTGTTCCTATACTATAATGTAAAGCTTCTAGAATGTGGTTACTTTTTTAATCAACTCATTGTTTTTTAGGCTTACATATATGAAATGCATTCAAGCACTTTTTTACATAAACTGGGGAGACACACAGAATCTGTAATCAATGTCAGTTTTAATCCCTCATCTCCACAGGTAAGCCATTGCTTTTTTTCCTCTTTGTAATGTAAGCATGAAAAAGAACTGTAATTTTATAATTTTAAATTTACAAAATAACAAAATACACCTCGTTGTCGTCTTCCTTTTTATTCTGTAGTCTTCTCTTTTATTTATGTGCCAATGTGTTGTGCATCTGTCGGGCTGTTCATCTACTTCCAGCTGTAGTGAGGTTATTGTGCCAGTTATAAACTCCTGCAAAATTCCATACGAATACAGAGAAAAAATGCCCCGATTAAGAAAGAAGTCTTCTTGCCTGGGAACACTTCTGAGCCTGTACATGTTGAATGTTGGGAAAAGGTATATGTGAAATTGCCTGAATAGGCTCTTAATTCAGAGAATGTAGGAGAGAAATAAGTAGGGACAGGGAAGTGAGAAGGGCCTCAGGCTTGCTGGCCTTACTCAAAGGCCTGAAAGATTTAAAAAGCAACATTATTTTAAGTGTGCTGTGTCAGAATAGCTATTGAAATAACTTTATCACAATATTTTGAAAGACTACTACTGTTGTTCTTGGAGCCTTTTAGATACCAATAGGTGAAAAGTACTTCAAAGAAATTAGGCATTATGCAGTAGCAATTTCTATTTTTTTGGTGATCATTATACTGTGCTAACAGCATTATATTTCAATGTAATGGTTTAATTGTAGTGCAGCAATATATACAAAAAAGCTTGTTTTCTAAATTTTATTTTGACACCCAAGCTTCCCTGCAACTAATTTATCATGTGAATTCTTTGCATGCTGTTTTTTATCCTATGGATTTACCTTCTTTGTTTTCATGTATTGAATTTGCCTTGAAGCCTTATACTTTCTACTTTTTTTCCTTACTTGAAAGACACAACAATGGTCACAATATATATATTTATGTAAGAGTGGACAGTAGCTTCTGTTTACTCCCTCCTCAACACTGACTATACTTGTTACTATTAAAGATACTTAACAGAGTAAATAAAATTCCTTTACTTGTAGAAATATTGTAACATTTATATATCTCCTTCCATTTGTAAATATAGATGCTAGCACTTCTGTGATTTTAGAATTTCTGGAAGTTTTATTTCTTATGTATATATTGTATGAGCTGAGAAATTGTTGATTGCTGTCTTAGGGTGAACATTATGTATTTCTTGTCTTTGGATTCAGCAATGTTATATTCAACCAAATGGCATGGTTTATTAAATTTTGCACCAAAATTAAGAGTAGTGCAATGTTTAGCACTGAACATATTTCTGCAAAAAATATACACTATAAGAATGGAGCTGACTATAGTGCAGCATTCTGATCTGTGGTCCAGCTGCTGGTATGCATTTTTGTGGAAAATGTCTGATTGGAGTTTAATTGTTAAAAGTCTAGAGGCTCAATTGCAGTAGTGGTATGAATCAAGACTTGGAAATAGCTAAGTTTAAGAAAATCAGCTGTTGATCAAGGGGGCACAATCTACAAATGGTGTAAAATAAACTTTGGCTGTGGCTCCAAGCCAGGCTGGTATGAGAGTGTGCCTTGGGGCACAAAGCCTCTATTACTGAATTTTATGAAACATCACACAGTCAATTAAGTATTATAGTTAGAGCCAAATCTGAAGTTCAAGAGCCACAAACCATTTTCTTGAAGACCTCTTTCCTGAGAAACGAGGTCTGTGGTCTTGAAGCAGCTGATGACTCCCCATAGATACTGTTGGAGGGAAAGACTTTGAAGATGATTTTATCAGAAACACTTTACTAAAAAGCAAGGAATTTGCAAAACTGCTGCAAATTTACAGATGAAATGTAAATTTGATTAACCAAATAATTCTGTGTAATATGCAGTCCAAAATGCTTTCTAAGTAATTATTTTTGGGAGAGTTACAGAAACAAAAAACAAAACAAAAATAACAAAAATCTACCTGGGCTTTCCAAAATAGAATATAGAATATAGAATATAGTATGAAATTACATTGCAAGGCGCTAGGACATGCTGCTAAGCAATGCAATGATAAGCTTGTAGAGTAGAAAATAAGAAAACCACAAATTAATCAGAAAATAATAATCCCATATCTTGAAAGAAAGACCATGTATTAGGCAGTCAGAGTTTCCAATAGTGGAAGATTTTTGTACCCATTGCTACCGCTGGTTAGGGATTTAAAATTGACTCTATTCTTGTTTCATCCAATGTTTGAATGCATGCAGCTAAGATTTATATTGGGATCTGAATCGCCACTGTATAAAGAAAGCCCCATTTCATTCAAAGGGAAACACTGTCAGGAGAAAGAGAAACGGGTGAAAAAAGTAAGTGGCTGATGAGTGAAATTCAGACATTATAGTTAAGCTTTCTGCTATGGAAACATCCAGCCAAAAGTGAGATGTTCGTCAGTGCTCCCATTCAGTTGTTGCTTGCCTAGCACCTGTCCAGAGGTAGCTTATTCCAGCCATTCCTATAGCTCTCACTTGCATAAGTGTTCTTCCAGAAAAGAGGGAAAAGCCCTGAATAGATATGTTGTTGTTACAGGGGGCATTGTTGCTTTCATCATATGGTGATCTGCAATGATTTATAAAATGATTACTATGAAAGCTGGAGAAGGGGAAAAAGTTAGAAAATTTGCATTTATCTCAATGAACAAGATGATTTCTCAGTTTTAGCTCCTTATTACTACTTCCTGGTTTTCACTCACTGTTCAAAACATGTAGGGAAGAATGTTTATCTTACCAAAGCAATTAATAGAATTTCAATCTATTTTAGAGAGTATGCATTAGGGTAATTGTAGTGTTTAATTATAATAACTTCAGTTATTGACTATAACACATTTGAATCAGTTAGTTAAAAAAGGGGTGAGTCTTATCTTCCAAATATAGAAAGAATAATCTCTGTTTTTGAAGCAGAATAAAAGCAAATGGGGATTCTATTCTCATCTGCTGGTTTTGTGAAGTTAAATATTGGTATATGCTGTGATGGAAGTTGTTTTTTCATGACAGAATCATGACTTCAAAATCAGCATGCATTGCTAGCGCCCTATTGATATACTGAGAGGTAGTTTCATGCTTCTGCTGAGATGAGCCTGCACTTGCAGTCAGTCAGCTGGCCTGGCTGAGGACCTTCTGATGCAGAGTATGATTAATACTGGGCAACAAATCAGAGATTACCAAGAAAGAGAGAGGCTATTTAATGTTTTTTCCTATTTAAAGAGAAGCCAGCATGTTCTCATGTGTCTTGATATTAATTCTAAAACTCTATGCTCATTTCATAAACCTGTTCTCTTCCATTAAATATTCCTTGCACAGTTTAAGAGTAATGCAGTCTTTGTAGGAGGACTGTCTTTGCCAAAGACTGTAATGCAGTTTATGTCTGGTAAGAAGATATTTCCTTTACCAACATCCAGCCAAAGGAGAAAGTTGCATTAAAAATAAAAAATAGAGCCTCCTGCTGACCTTTTCTGAGGTTAAATGTATTTCTGTCCTTGTCTTCTTGAATTGTTAGCTAAATCTGTGTATTCACATTTGGTTTATCTCAGTGAAGTGAATGAAGATATGGAATGGAAATTTCCTAAATTTAACCACCATACCAGTTGAATTTTTCTATTCAAATTACTGAAGTATCAGTCTGATTAAATATTATTAATATTTATTTTTATTCACCATCATGATTAATATCCTTCTCTTCTTCATCCTCAAATGCACAGATTTATTATGATGGTATTAATAAAAAACCAAAGGGAGAGCAGTTAATGCAATTTGTCCTAATCTTTCACCGGTTTTTACAGATCAACTTGTAAACAAGTACCAAGATACTCATGTGAAGCAGTCCAAGGTAGCTGCATGTGCCCTTTGTTATTCTGTAAGACGTTAAGACTTATGAGAGGTAGAAATTGGGGTAATAAGATCTCTTCAAAAGGTAACAGCATCTGGAGTATTGTTGAGCAAACAAATCATTGTGACATGAATTAAACTTTGGGGTTTTTTAATGTAAGATAGTGCTTTTTAAAAAAATTATTAGCAGTCATTGACTGATACAACTGTGCATCACAGTTCAACGTGTTAAAAATCTTGAGATTGTCTTCAGGTTTGGAGAATTGCATAACCATTCAATTTTCAAACTTTCAACATGGATTTTAAATGGATTTAGAAACTGAGTCAAACCAGAGAGGTGCCAGTCTACGTATCTTGGGGGAAAAGAGGATCTTCAGCTCTACCCACCTTTGGGAGATTCTCAAAGCACACTTGGTTTACTACAAAGTATTTTTTGGCTGCTGCCTTTAAACCAAAGGTTATGTTTGCAGATATTGGCCTTTTCTGTCGTAAAAACTGGTTTGACAGAAAAGAACATAGAGCTTTGGCCTGTTCCACTCTCCTGCTACAAGGGTGGTTGAGCCTGTGGATAATTAGGCTGTTATTGTGACACAGCAGATAGTCCTACTGAATTTATTCCAATCCCTGATAATTTAAAATTAAGAGTTCATCACTGAACATGTATGTCTCTGTTTATAGCAGAAAGATAATTTCTTTTGCAGTTTCTAATAAACTCCGATAATGTTGTGTATCAATATATTAAAATATGAATTTATGTTGTTTAGTGCAAAAAATTGTTTATTCAAAAAAATTCTTGCAAGTAAATATGAAAACATATGAAGAAGGATGGCAGATTTTAAAAGAGAAAAAAAGAGCCATCTATAAGCTAGAAAGGACAATATAATTCAGTTTAATCATTGACTACTCCGTGCATTTTAAGTGTGTTGCCAGCAAAAACCAGCTGTACACCACATGATTTTAGACAAATATACTTGCAGAGGCAAGCATCTCAATTCATAGCATATTTGTCATAAAATCTTTATGGTAGTTTGTACAAGGGTAGATACTTTATTGAATGGCACTGCTAGGCTGAAAGGGCTGGTATGGAACAATTGGCTACTCCGTTGCTCAATGTGAATTTTGTTTACCAAGTATCTAGACAAGCTTCCCTGTGGACTGGAGGGAGAGAGGATTGACTGTGAGTGGGAAGGAAAAGCACTAACTGT